TCACTGTAGACGCTATACGTTTATCGTGATATACTTCTCCTATCTGCTATCCAATAAATTATCGTTTATTGTTGCCAAATAATCTAAACTTGGATTCAGTGTCCAGCTTTGCTCATTCCATTTGTGTGTGTGGTCTAATGACCCTTTCAACCTTTTGGTCTAGTTGGTTACCTCATCCCAGCAGCTACGCGTCCATTGAGACAACTACATATTAATAATTATCTTACTGTGATGGAACTAACATTCTTAACTGTACTTATAGCTAGGTCAATGACAAGATCTATACTGACTTGTCGTGTTACTTTCCAGCATTTTTAAAGGAAATCGGATTTTACCTTGACTACTTCTATTATCAACAGTACTGGTTTCATGTACACTCTCCGCCCGGCATGGCCAAGCGCTCGATTGGCAATCTGCGGGTCGCGGGTTCGAATCCCCGTCACACCAAACATACTCACCCTATCAGCTGTGGGGGCGTTATAATGTGACGGTCAATCTCACTATACGTTGGTAAAAGAGTAGCCCAAGAGTGGTGGTGTGGTGGGTGGTGATGACTAGCTGCCTTCCCTCTAGTCTTATACTGCTAAATTAGGGACGGCTTTACACGAAATTCATAATAAACCATAAACCATATACACTCTTCAGCTCCAACTGAAATATAAAATTTTGCCCCTGTCTGTCAAGTAGTACTAATCTTCACCTGCCAAAATTCTAATTTTAACACGTTTATCACGTGTAATTTCAGTCTTAGGAAAGATGAATGAAATCACCACAATACTGCTGGGAATGGTATAACTTTCTATACCTTTATAAGCACTATGTTGGTGTAGTACTCTTTAATGTATGACAGCTAATCACAGTGTAGAGTGTCAACAGTTTATTCTCATTGAACAGAAAGAGGAGTAATCCTATAATATTTGCGTTTTATGTCCATTTTCACTACTTTTTTCTATCATTATTTAATTACTGAATAAATAGTTAGTAATGAAATAATTCTTATCTAGCTTTAGTGTATTATGGTACCCAAAAACCAAACATAAAATCCCAGACACTTCTAGGCCTATCACGTCCTAGTGGTTAGGGCGCTCTATTCGCAATCAACGGGTCGCGAGATCGAACCCGTCACCAAACATGCTCGCCCTTTCAGCCTAAGAGAGCGTTACAATTTAAAGGTGTTTGGTTCATTGTCGTCGTAAAAGGAAATTATAGCAATTATAAAATAAATGTATTTTTATCTTTCAATCTATGCCACTGTAAGTTGAGAAAATTTATGACTGTAAAGGTTGATTACCTCAAAAAACTGTTTTGTTATGAAGGAATGAAAAAAAAGATGTGAGTGCATATAAACAAGATCAACACATGTTATATTCTATACCTAAAGCGTATATAAAGTTACTTTGCATAAAATTATCTGCCACATTATTCGATAGGCTTATAAGAGCTGATATAGTTCGGAACTTAGCTGGTCATGGTATGGGATTTGTTCTCCAATATGAGCAAATATATTTCCTACTTCAATATATGATGATGCACTGTGAACAAGATATGAGCGGTAAACCCATCTGAAACCTACGTAGCCTAAAAAAAAAGAAATACAAAAATGTGTGTATAAATTGAAATCTTATACCAACGCTCTTTGGTGGTTTAATTGTATACTCCTTTACTCACCATTAATAACCTAAAATACTTTAGGTGTTTGAATAACATGTAACATACCGTCACAATTAATTATTTATTATTATTCAGTGCACTAACTGCTGCAAAAGACGTTACTTGTTTGCTTCGCTTTTCCAAGCAGCACTGATGAGCTGTCAATTCGGCGAAACTAGCCTGTTGCAGCGGGAGTAGGGAATCAAAGAATAGATTAGGCCTGTACATCATCTTTTCTTCACTGAAATTCGCGTTTTGGTGAAGAAAGGAAACAAATAAGCCGATTCTCTTCATTCATTTTTAAACTTCAAAACTTTGTGTTTACAGAACATTAAATTGTTTAATACTTTAATGATGTTATTTTACTCTGAAAACAGTGCAAAACAAACTTATTTTTTGACGACAATCGTATCATATATTTCTCCATATGATTTTTATTTACTGTTAAGCACAAAGCTACTCAATGTGCTATCCGTGCTGTCCTCGCCACAGTACAGAAACCAGGTTTTTAGCGTTATAAGACTTCCAATATATACATATATATATTGTTATGTATCTGCCTGATTGTTTGTTTCAGGTAGAAATTCTTTCCGAGGATCTTCAGCTATACAAGTCCTTTTTGATTAAACCAGTTTATTCTTCCTCGATACAAACTTTTAGTACACAGACGTTCCACAGTCAGTACGTTTCTCGTCACTTTAAACTTAACAATTTTTATAATACAAGCTATAAATCTCGATAACTTCGCTTTCAACGAGTGCAAAACACACACTTTACGGCTCACTAGTTCGAAACTAACAGAATCATAAATTACAGGAGCTCAAAGTAACTACTGCTCTCTCTTCATTCCCGCTGGCTTTCTCTGCTAGGCTTATATACTAACGAAGAGAGCATCTCGGACTTCCCTGATCATTCGAGAAACATCACGCACGCTATCAGCGCCAATCGCGCCAGCAGCGTCATATGACTTCCGTTGTCGTAACAATATATAAAACAGCTTTCCATCTGTAAAGTTTGACATTCTATCGAAATAGATAGATAATAATTACCGAATGAGAATGAAAAGATACTGAACATAACAAAGTTAAAGAGTTTCAGGAAATTAGATATTCTTGTTTTTCAGAACTGTCGTCAAATATTTTGTATGTTTAGATCAGTATTCTAACAATTGGGCTGGTCATTGCCTAGTGATTAGATTGACTGGATTGTGAATACGAAAATTCATGGTTAACGTTCCGTTGTCGCAAAAAAAAAAAGCGTTCTGTACTTTGGAGCCATTGATGCACTATAAAAATGACGGTCAAGTCCCACTATTCAGTCACATAATGATAGCCCATGAGTTATCCATAAATACTCTTAGCTTGGTTTGCCTTCCTTTTAGTGTATCATTTCAAAGATAGCGTAACTTTGCAAAGTTGGCCTTTTATGTTACCCTACATGAAAATTCTGAAATAAACTTATATGTTAAAAACAAACTTCCAAAAATATAATAACATTTTTAAAAAGGCAAACTTAAACGATACATAACTTTTCAAATACATAGTCGGCGAATTGATAAAACATAACTTTTTGGACTATAAAAATAAAAAATGTCTGAAATATCTAAAATAATATTTCGTGGTCGTGTTGGGCAAGAAATCCCGAGAGATATGTGGCGTCATCTATTACCAAATAGAGTAGTTTTAGTGAAATATTGTTAAACAAAAATGTGTGTTAAGATAAGCTGATGTAATAAACATTATATTCAACTATTAACGATTTCAGTTTTAATTAAACGAAGAAAGTAATAATAAAAACATGTATAAAGTACTAAACTGCGTTACATTTGACGCATGTTTCGCGTAGACGTCGGAAATTTACATTGACGTTTTTTGTAGTTTTTATCTTATATTTTGAATCTTTACCTGTAACTACCAAATTATTTTAAAATCCTTATCTACTCATACTGAGTATGATTTCAGACTAAAACTCACTGAAATTTATAGGGATGCTGAAATGGGTGCCGGTCACTTTGTATTGGAGATTTGCTCTAACACTTTCATCACTCTGTTCCAATACCTATACCATTTCGTATCTTGGATGTTGATACGAAAATATTTTATAAGTAAGCGATTGAATACTAAAACGCAAAAGTAGATCTGAAGTTTAAAAAGAAAAGAAAAATTCGTTTATAATATACTTTTACTGTACCGTAGGCGACGAATTTATATTAAGAGTAATTTCATATATGAAATTCCACTTCTGTCCGGTTGTATACACGTGCTATTCTGTTCGACATGAAGGGTGTACGAAGTTAAACATGTGGGAAAACATCCAAAATTGAGGATTAACTTAAATGGACAGTGATTCGACTACATAAAAAAGCATTAGTTTTGCCTTTAATGGACCCTTTTGACTATTAGATGACTAAAACAAATCATTTAGCTTTAGTTTAGCATCACGCAATTCGGAATGTTCAACTTGGTGGCTTTATTTGCTATAATATTTTCGTGTTCTTGTAAACCTCCAATCGATTGTGGGTCTTAGAAACGTTGAACTTCAGAAATTACACTTTTTTGGTTTTAGATTTCAAGAAGAAATAAATCTAAACTGAATTAACAATTGGTTAATCAAAACTCCAGTTAACACTGAATCTCATTGCTGCTTCTTACTATAATAACACATGGAAAAAAAACACGAAAGCCTTCAATCGAATTGGTTTTCAGTTAATAATGAAAAGTACGTTAGTTCTTTTTGTTTTTGCTTTTCTCATTCATTTGTTTATCGTAGAATTATATAGAAATTTGGGTATCTTGATATCTTAGTTGACTGAAAATATCATTTCTGTGATTCACTTCCAAGGTAAAAACTAGAATTACATAAATAAGTGTAGTAAAGGAGATATCAGCAAATAAGTTGAATTTATTGAATTTAGAACAATGTACGATATCAGAGAATTTAAATAAAAAACGTACAGATCGATATAGTAGCACCCATTCCCTAACTAGGTCAAACGTACAAGCTGTGCTATTTTGAATTTACGTACAAGTGTAGCAAAATTTACTATGCACGCATATTTTAAAACATTTAAAAAAAATCAATACATCGATGTAAATCAAATGTCATCATTATGGCGCACATTCTTTTGTAGTTTGAGAATAAAACGGCCCTTTTTAAAAAACTAGATAAGAGTGCCTACAAATGAAGAAGTGCACTTTTTGAACCTCTATCAGTGTTTTCGAGATTTTCTGTAAATTGGTTTTCTTCATTGTCATTTTTTCCCCATTTTGTACAGTTAGTGATAGATTTATGTATATATATAATAAGGTAAAATAATAATAATAAGGTAAACTTTATTATATGTCTTCCAGCTTATTAAAGAATTTATATCAGACATATATGAGAGGAGAACGGAAGAAATGATTACAAATGCTTTCAGAGAATTTCTGTGGTCCGTCACAGTTTCTATATTTGCCATAGGTGGAATGGTAGGAGGGATTTCAGGAGGAGCGGTTGCTAATAGGTTTGGAAGGTGAGATATTTCAAAATTCAGTAGAACGATTGTTGTTACTTAAGTTTTGTTCTTCCACTTTTGTTCGCTTTTATGTTTCATTCAGATGTTATAATATGATGTTTTCCTACTTTATGTCTTGCATACATATCATGTTGTATATACAATATTAGTAAAGTGATATAATTTTGTTTTTCAACAGGAAAGGGGGTCTTCTTCTTAATAACGTTCTTGCAATATTGGGAGGTGCATTCATGGGGCTCAGCAAAGCGTCCCATAGTATCGAGATGCTTATCTTTGGTCGCCTTATCATAGGTTTTAATTGTGGTAAGTCTACTCACTATCATCAGAGAGACAGTTTTTTTATACAACTTAATTTCAATGAGGAAATTTTGTTTTAAATTATGATTACATTTGAATAATTTTGTTATATAATAACAAAATAACTTTTGTTATATTTTAAAGTTATAGCCATCGAAATGTGAATATCGAAGATTTATTACTTTTTTAAAAAAATAATTGTTCAATTATTTATAAGTATAGTTGCTTTTTAAAATCAGCCAGTTGTGTAACTACTGTTGAGCTAAGCATTCAATCTCTCTTTTGCTTATTTCAAACAAAGTTAAAAGCTATTGTTATTCAGCACCATGTGAATGTTGTTTTGAAAATGATTTTCTAGAGACAAATTTTAGAAGATTTTCAGTTGTTTGGTAAGATAAATATTCTTTATAAATGTAGTTGTTACATGTTACAAGTCTCCTACTTGTAGTGTTTCAAGGACATAAACATTTAAAGTGCTATATATTCTAACCGAAAATATTACAAAACATTCACCAAGGGCACCAAATCTGTATGAATCCGTTGTTTACAGGCGAGATTCCTCGGAACTGTGCGGAAATGAAAGTTATATTTTTATTGTTTTATGTAAAGTGCACTAAATAAGTATTACATATCGCTAAAATAAAAAAAATTAAATTATTATGAGGGAAAATTTGGCAAATTATGGTTACAATTATATTTCTTTACTTAATTTTTACAATTGCATGGGTTGGTAGGAGGCAACAGGGAACAGCTTCTCAGACTATGTTTAATGTAGTTTTTGTTGATTGTATCAGATACTGTGTTATTCTGAATCATTAGAGGGTGTCCATAAAATTAAAATCAATTGTATGTTTCTATTTCTTCTGTTATTTCTGAATCTTTTACTGTGATTGAGTTCCTAGAAATGTCTCTTCTACTATTAATGATAGCTAGGGTATGGTGGCTTAGTGACTAATGCATTGAATTGAAAAGTGAAAGTTTGTTTGTTCGAGGCTTGCTCAGGATATATTGCTATGTCTTTGTAACAAGCATCTTATCCAATTTCTTCAGTTTACCAAGCTATATAATGAGTATCATCAGACAGCCTAGCGCTATCCTGCAATTGGTGATCTAATTGTTTATATAATTAAATCTTAATATTTTGGTGTTGAAATTAAATAAACCAACTTCACTTAATCACGAGGTTAGATTATTACGGATTCTTCTTCTCTGTAGTGTAAGTACCTTACTTTTACCCATCAACCCCCAAGCTCTATAATTCTCATTCTTTTTGTTGATGAATACAAATATCTAGGTACATTATTTGGTCTGGGAAGGATCATACCTTTCCTTCATCCGCAATCGGCTAGAAATGTTTCGTATTGCTTTAGGATACCTCAAATTAGATAGTGGATCTTCAAGCACATTTGTTGCTATATCATATATTTGTATTTTGTACAGTATAGTGTACGTATGCTCAGTACTCTGCCTTTATTTTGTCTCTCTAAGCTTAGAACCAGGGGTGTAGACAAGCTGGGTTCCTGGAGCCTGGACACACGCATTTTTTTTTTTAGAGATAAAAGTATTGCTTTCTATAATTTGACATATTTGGCAAAGTAAAAAAAGACAGAACAATTTGTGAACATGTTGATAGATGGCTGCCATGTTACCGATAAGGAATAGCATTCACTTACATATTGTTGCGTCAGCGAGTCACATGACCACTGTGGCGCCCTCAAGTTTCTAGAACTATCTTGTTCTTTCAGGAATGCT